GTTTTTGGCCACCTGAGTGGAAGGCCCTCTCACCCTTGGATGCCCATACATTCTGCTGCTGCCTAGGCTTCCCTGACCACCCTAATATTAGGCAACCTCAAAGAGTTGTTTTGAACCCAAGCAACTCTTTTGTTGGAAGGAACAAATACAGGAAAAACTCAAGAGAATAAATAAATAATGTGTTTGTTAACAAACACATTAAACCATCCCATTATGTGAATAAGAAATAAAAATTGTACAAGCGAATCATAAAGAGAACAATCAAGAGGGACTCTCCAATGAAAGCTTAGTTCATCAAAATGTTATAAAACCCCTTAGACAGCCCCTGATGTGGGACCCCTCCCATGCTGGGGATTCTTTCCTTGCTGGCTTCTAATAAATCTGCTACTAAATTTTCACCCTCTGTTGTCTGCGTACTTCATCTTCAGGTGTGTGAGACAAGAACACTCCAGTGCTCACACAACCCTGTGATACATTAGTGTGTCCTTCGTGGATAGCATCTCACTTTGTCTGAGGGTACTTGGTGTCCATATTTTACTTTTGGTAGGTGACTTCAACTGTCACTGATATCAAACTGGTCCGATAACATACATTGCTACACAAACATTATATCACTGAATGTTCACAAGGATTCTATAATGCAAATGTCCTTATTTCCATTTTGCAGATAGGGAAACTGAGGCTCAGAAATTTCTTCCCCTCTTTGAAATTGGAAAAATTCCTACAAAGTATTATCTCTCATTTGCCCCAAAGGGATATAGATATTGCTGTCCTCCACCCTTGGAGATGCCATCACTAACAGGGAGTTAGGGACTGATTGTCTGCTATTTGCAAGGATCTGCCTTTGGCAGAGACATTAGAAAATTTCACACTCCCAGCCAGGCAGAGCCAGAGAAGCTGTGGACCCTGGTCAGCTGGATCTCTTGTCCGCCAATGCAATAAGCAGCTTGGTGGAGAGATAAACGGATGTGATTATTGGCCTAGAATGAGATTTAGGGATTATCTATGGATTTTCTCTATCCTTGTGATGGACACAATGGAGAGGGAAGGGGCTGTGGTTTCAGAACCCAGGGGAGGGAACTAAATATTTGTGTTGTACCAAAGCTTGAGGGTCAGATGAAACTGGGCTCAAATCCAAGCTCTGTGACCTTGGCCAAGTCATTTCTCTGTGTGACTGTAATTTCCTCTGTGCATGGAAGTAGAAACATGCCGACCCTTGCCTGTTCCTGCTTCCAATCAGAAGAGGATCACTCTCCGGTGTTCTGATTTGAAGAATTTTACATACAATCATAAAGGTCTACATTAATTATCTCTAAGCATCTTACCTTTTACTGCATGCCCTCAGCAACATCTTGAAACAGTAAACTGAATTTCTATACACATCAAAAACAGCAACAATAATAGCAGCCAACATTTACTGAGCTCTTCTCATAGAAGCACATTACAGGCACATTACCACTTCATCCTCTCAATAATCCTGAGAAGTAGACTCTATTTTTATTCTCATTTGCATATGAGGAACTTTACTTTCAGGTGTTTGCCTGATGTCCCAAAGTTAGCAAAAGATAAGACCAGCCCTAAAACTCGAATCTAGTTTACCCACAGCCAATACTTAATCCCTTTCTTAAATACCTCAATTGCATGTGTAAGATTTCTATAACTTTCTGACATGGATTTGAACTGATTTCCTGAGACTAACCATCATGCAATCCAAGTGAATCACTTTTGTGGGCATTTGCTATGCTTGTCTCTGAGTCCCTGATTCTTCATTCATAAATTTGGCATGATAACACTTCCCTTCCAATGGTTGAGGATTTGATGAGATAGATGTGTTCAAGGATTATCAGTTTTTCTTTGTTTCTCCTCAAAAATTAATATAAATTTTCTTGAGAGCATCAGTAAAAAATAAGAAAATAATTTAGGTGCAAAATGACAATGTTGGAAATTGTCTCCATAACTACCCAGGGCAGCACAATACACTGCAGTTCTTGAGATGCTGTGTACCACACTGACTATAGATATGGAGAGTGGAGAAGACCTCATTCTTCCTAATTCAACACACACCCTGAGCCACTTTTCCAAGCACTGTGGGTACTCTGATCTAAACGTGTCCCCCAAAACTTATGTTTTGGAAACTTAATCCCCAATGCAGCAATACTGGGAGTTTAGACTATGAGGTCTCCACCCCCAAAGAATGGATTCATTATGTTATAAAAGAGCCTGTAAAGACAAGTCGGCTCTCTTCTGCTTTTCTGCTAGATGAGAATACAGTGCTTGTCCCCTTTTGTCCTCCCCTTTTTGTCTTGTGAGGATGCAGCAAAAGGCCCTCACCAGATGCCAGCTCACTGATCTTGGACTCCCAGTCTCCACAATTGTGAGAAAATAAATTTATTTTCTTTTATAAATTACTCAGTTTCAGGAATTGTAGTAGCTCAAACAGACTAAGACAGTGTGTTCAGAGATAAGCACAACAGACACGCTACTTGCTCTCCTAGAGATTGCATTCCACTGAAAGAAACAGAAAATAAGCAACAAAAAAAGTAAACAAGACATTTCAAAGAGCAAGTGTTATCAAAAATAAAAGAAGGTAACCAAGTAGTCTAAGTTGGGGTGAAAAGAAGTTATTTTAGAGAATGCGGGCAGGTTAACCTTCTCTGAGAAAAAGCCATTTATACCAAGGTCTGAATATTGAGAAGAGTCATTCTTGAAAAGAGCCATGACCCGGAGCTGAGAATGAGAGGTGTATATTCAAGGAATAAAAAGAAATTTATGGCTGTCATAGAGTGAGTAACACTGATACAAATCAGTCCTCTGTAAGACAGCCATTAGCAGGGTCCATGTGGATCTCCCAGAGGTGGAGAGAAACAGAAGGTAGATTTTAGTTCTTGAGCCAAGACTGAGTTTCATTAGCATAGCGACCATTAGCATAGAAACAAATGATGGTATATAATATCATTGCCACAAAATAGAGACCATCAAGACCACAATCCAGGAGTCAAAAGATATCAAATAGAGGAAGTCCTGGATTGGCTGGGTGTTAGCCACCTACGTGCCAATATGCTTTTCTGTATGTGGGAGAGGAAAATGTTAAAATAATTCAGCAATCATTTTGGAAAACTAAACCCAGCCTCCTCCCCCAGGGTACTCAGAGGTAGACAGCCGTGAATTTTTACTTTCTAGAGTCAACAGTCCAAAGAGTTGTATACTCACGGATTGGGTGATGCTTCTCATCCCTTCTCTTACTTGAACTACTACTGGAGTTGCCTCTACACTAGACTCCTTGCGCTCAGTCTCTTCCACTTCTATAAACAGTCACGGAACATTTTCATTGGTCCAAGTTTTCTACAAGGTGTTCCAGAACAGTAAGTATGTGCCCACAGGTATGGTGCCCTCCTGAAGCTTCAGGCATACATTACTCCAGTGTCAGCAGAAAGCACTTTGCAAATTGTAAAGGATTGATCTAGTGTTGTTACGGTAGGGATGATTAAGGTGGTGATGGCAGTTGTTAAATCAGGCCTCTTGCTTTTCAGTGACTCTCTGCTGTCTATGAGATAGAGGCATGGTAGCAGAGGCCAAGCCAATTCCAGCCTAATTTCCCACCCTCTATCCCCTATATCAATTTTGCACTCCATCTGCATCAAATCTCTCATGGTCCCTTAATTTCACACAAGGCCCTTGAATGTTGTTTCCTCTGTCTAAAACATTCTCCCCCTGTTGTCTGACTGCAGATCCCCACTGGATCCTTCAAGGTTCAATTCAGCTTCTGAAACCCTTCTCCACAGCTTGTATTTATCCCTACTTCCCCTTGTCTGGCAGTAGCAGTGGGGGCACCTGAAACCAATCCCACATGGATACTGAGAGATGACTACACAATAATTTCAGAGAGTAATAAACAATGAAGAAAATTGAAATGATGTTAGAGAGTAATTGGGATAGAAAGCATTATTAGGTAGATGGTCGGAGAAGACTTTTTTGAGGAGGTGATGTTTGAACTAAAATCCAAATGTCAAGATTTGGCCATATGAGTCATGGTAATGAGGACCTCAAGCTGAGAAAATAGCAAATAAAAAGATATATTTTTTTTAATTTTAAAAGAAGCTTGGTATAAAATGGAGGTCATGATAGAGGAAGTCTCTGACTCAGAGAAGAGTTGTTGGTGATAAAGCAGGAATGCTGTCATGTGGGGCCTTGAAGTCTGTGGTAAAAATATGTAAACCAAATGAGCCATCACCTGAAGGAAAGGAAGTTACTTTGAGCCTTGCATGTGTAGATTCATTCAGCAGATTTAATAGAACATCTATGGTGTGTCATTCGTCATGCTAGACGGAGATACAGAGAAAAGTAAAATATAGAGCCAGTTTTCATGAGCTGGTCAGTTGAGGATATAGATGAAGACATAATTGTCACACGATGTGATAGGAAATCTAGTAGAGACATGTAAAAGCTGAGGGAGGCTCAGAAGAGGAGTGACTGTGCCACAGGGGGCAGGAAAAGTTTCACTGAGAATGCAAACACTTTAACTTACAGATTAAACAAAAGGAATAAAGGTGGAAGAACATTGCGGCCAAAGGGAACAAACAGTAGGTACTAAGGCACTGGGAAAATCCTGTTGAGAATGAGTGGTCCTCGGTCATGATGGGACCAGACAGAAAGGAGGTACTGGGTCTTTCTCGTGAAGGACTTTAAAAACACCGTATTTTTAGAAAGATCTCTCTGGGGCAGGGTTGGTGACAAGAATAAGGTTCTAGAGGCAGTTAGGCTAATGAGTGGCGCCAGCAATAGAACAGGTAGGTGTAAATAAAGACCTAGGTTTGATTTTTGGCCTCAGAAATTGAGGGAGAGCAAGGGAGGGAGGTCGAGATCCAAGAAAGGATGCCCTAGTGAGGGACCCCCCCTAAGTCTCCAAACTTCAAGGCAGAACTGCGTGTGTGGGGAACTCCCCAAGTCTCCCTCTTGATTTCACAGCCACCTCTGCTGGCGCCCTCTCTCGTCCCCGCCGCCAGCCCCCGCCTCTTTTCTCAGGAAGCTTGGGTCTCCCTGGGAGCGGGTCAGCCCTTGGGGGAGGCCTCTCGGCTCGGTGCCCTGCAGCTCGGCTGACATTCGGGGTGAACAGAAGAGGGGCTCGGCGCCCCCCGCGCGCACATGTGCTAACCCAGGCAGGAGGGAGCGCCTTGGCGGAGGAGGCAAGGAAGAGGGGAGCGAGAGGCGCGCCAGATCCTCGGTCCCGGGCGCCCTGGTCGGCCGCGGAGGAGCTGCAGCCTCCAACAGGTTCGTAGAAGGCGCGCTCGCTCCCTGTGGCTGAGCCGCCCCGTCCTCCGCGCGAGCGGGTTCGCTGGAGAGACCCTGGCCATAGGCCCCGCGCTGCCGCGCTCCCCGAAGGCGGCTTCCTCCGGCCTCTCCCTCTCTCGGCAGCTCTCGGCCGCCGCTGGCTCTTCCGGGGCGAGGCGGAGGGCGCTACGGCTCCTTCACGGTTCAGCAGCATCTCGGGGCCAGCCGCCGTGCCGGGCGGGGTCCTCCTCCCGGGGTCCGCCCTGCACCGGTGGACTGGGGCCGCCCGCCCGGCGGGGTCCTCTCCTCTTCCCGTCCCGGTTCAGTACCACGGCCGCCGAGGACAGTCCCTCTCCCCCGCCGGCTCCACTCCCCGCGTCAGCACCGCCGCGGCGGACAGCTTCTGCCCAGCCGGCGGCGTCCTGGCGAGCGACGAAACAAAGCCGAGGGGCAGGCAGAGGCGCCCCCGGAGTTCCGTGCGGGTGGGCGGCGGCATGGACTGGGGGGTTTCGGCTTTTCCCGGAGTTGGGGCAGGGGCGAGCCGGAGAGGGGGGGCCTAGTCACCACCGCGCGTCTCTGGCTCGGGTCTGCGGCTGGCCGAGGCCTGGCGGTGCAATGGCGGGTGTCAGCTGGAAGTCGGGAAGAGGGCAGAAGGGGACCGGGCATAGGAGGGTCCTGGGCTCCGGCTGGGCGAGCTGGGCCTAGTCTGAGCTGGCAGGAAGGAATGCGCCGCCCCCTCTTTGCCCAGACCGCCACCCCAGCTCAGCACCACGGACTAACCCAGGTGCCCGCGGCTGGCAGCGGCGGTCCCTGACTCCGTCTGTCCGCGGAACATCCCTAGAAAGTGTGAGGCTGAGTTTCCGTGGGGGGAGGGGGCCGAGAAAGCGCCGGGAAGCCGCGCGGAGGAACCGGGCAGCTCCGGGCTCCCCCTCCCACCTGCCCAGTGTTCCACCCGCACGACCCGAGAAATCCCAGCCCGCCAGGAAGGGAGAGGGGAGGAGGCGACCCGGGCTGCGGTGGGGGATCGCGGCTCAGCTCTGGGAGACGGTCATTAGCAAGAAAAGAGGTTGAGAGAGCCTGAGGAGCGGGGAGGTTCCCAAACAGGGAAGCCAGCTTCGCGGCAGGAAACCAAACCTGGAAGAGAAACCTTTTCTCTGGGAGCTGAAGCTGGGAGGGCCTTCGGATCACGTGGTCCTCTAGATCACAGACACTCTCCCCGGGAGACTGGGCCTTGGGGGCAGAGGTGATTCACCAAGGTCACCCAGCAATTTGGTAGCAAAATTGGGCCTAAAACCAAGTTCCTTAATTCCTGGAGACTGTTGTATAATGTGGAGAAGTCTTGCAGAATTCCAGATGCAAGAGGAGCAGAGTGGTTTCCATTCTGAGTGCAATCTCAGCTCTGTCAATTGCTAGCATATGACCTTGGGAAAGGGACCTCCTGACACCCTCTTCAGATATTAAAGGGAAATGATAAGATTAATAGCACCCGCTTATGGTGAGGATTTGATGAAAAAGCTATGTAATGAGTTTAGTGTAGTGTCTGTCACCTAGTAAATGCTCAAAAATTGGTTGTTATTATTCCTTTTGTAAGCATGTGCTAAGTATCTATCATGTGCCAAGCACTGGCCATGTTCTGGTAGGATGAAGAAGTGTCCTGAGGAGGTCAAAGACCAACAGAGGAAACAGAAAAGAAAACACAATGTCAGTGTGGTGTGATTAAGTATGGAGGCTAGTAAACAAGGTTGTGCCATTCGGGAGGCAGGAGTGTTGAACTGTGGGGGGAGAAAGAGGGAAAGGGCCTCAGACACATGAAGCTGTATGTAAAGGCACAGAGATGTAAAATCACAGTGACCAGGTTTATGTCACCTGCCTGAAGGTCCTCAGGATGGGCACTGGGAAATGAGAGTAGAAAGGCTACAGCCAGTTTCTAAATGGGCTTTTATTGTGGAATATTTCAAACATATTTTGAAAAATACAAAAACTAGCGTAATAAAATCCCACATGCCCATCATCCAGCCTTAACAGTTGGCCAATTTTGTTTCCTCTGTACTCAGACCCACTCTCATCACGCACATCAACATCTACTCTCTTCTGTTTCACACACACGCGCTCACACATACACCCCAACTTATTTTAAAGCAAACCCAAAATGTTGTACAACACATCACATCATTTCATGAGGAAAGATTTTAACATCAATAACAACTTCTGCCATTCAGATGCTGTACCACCTTGGAAGTCATTGACTCAAATCATGTTCCCTTCTCAGTCCTGAACATTCCTGTCCTTAGCAGAAAGTTTTGAGAGATAGGCCACACTTTGGTGATAAACCATATGCTTTAGAAGAAATTATTTTAGGAAAAAACAGGGGCTGGGGTTGTGGCTCAGCAGTAGAACGCTCGCCTAGCACATGCAAGGCCCTGGGTTCGATCCTCAGCACCACATAAAAATAAATAAAATAAAGGTACTGTATCCAACTGCAACTAAAAAATAAAAAATAAGCATGCGGGGGCAGTCATCCACCTTCAACAGGTTTGTTTAACTAAGGCTTGTTTAACTCCTCTACCTACACTAAGGCCATAGGCCAGCAGCTATTTGAAAGATAGACCAAAAGACAAGTGGAGCCCCGAAAAGAAAAAGTGTTTCCCTTTCAAAATAATCTGAATCAGGGACTCATGAGGATAGAAGTCTTGAAGTTATGGAAATCACTGATTTAGAAATCATCAAGCCACATTTTACAGATGAGAAAGTCAAGGGTCAGGAATGGGAAGGAATTTACAGAGAGTTCCTCAGTGCTAAAGCCAGAGCCAAGGTCTTTGAACCCATAATCTGAAGTTTTTTCAGTTCACCATTTTGACTAGAATATTCAGCCTTGGAGTTTCTCCGCACATAAATATGGGATGGCATTTTCTTCACCAGCTCATAGAGGCAGCAGGAGGAAGGGGAAGAAAGCAAGAAATGTATTCCTAGTTCTCAAGAGGGTGGTCATGTTTGACAGGTGGTCTTTGGGCCCTTTGATAAATTGCCCCTCTACATATTTTTGAAGTAAGTTGCTCCTGCTGGCCACTACCTTTTGGCCATGGTGCTAATCTCCTAACTGGCTCCAAGGGCTCTGCAGTCAGACACCCGGGCCTAATTTCTGTGGATTTTTTCCAGTCAACCAGATGCATGGGAAGCCTTTCCTTTCTCCATTAGCCCTGAATTTGGCTGCACATCCCTCTGGACTACAGACCACAGCTCCTTTGATGTGTTAAATGAGTAGTGTTTGGCCCAGACCCTGGCAGGACTCAGAGCTCTTGAGCCTTTTTGGAGCATAATGTCTCTCCAGTTACTGATGCAATGTGACAGCTATGACGGGTTTATCTGCCCCAATCAGGCTCTAGGGCTCTGACTACACAAGTCAGCATTTTCATTTTTCAGGAAAGCCCTTCGTTGACTTAAAAATGGGAAAGATAAGATCTCACAAGTTCCCCCAAGTCTTCAGTATGAGAACCCATGAAAGGAGTTCTTAACATCCCCAGTGAAGGGAAGTCAACAGAGAACAGCCAACGAAATTGTTTTCCTTCTGGGAGGATGAGTCAGGCAAGATAAAGGCAGGTGATCAAAATTGTGAACTTCACCTTGTGAAATTATCCAAGCTATTAGCCTGGAATGAGACCAATTTAGAGGTATTATATTGTCTCTGTCTAGTTGAATTGCAATATGTAGAATCCCAAAGGAACTTGATGAGTCTCTACTCTTCCTTCAAGACACTTATTCATTGAGTGGCTATTCTGTGTCAGGCACAGTTCCAGGTGCTCGTGACATAGCAGAACAAGACACCTCACATCCCTGCTCCCCTGGGGCTTATAGACTCACAGTAGAAACCATCATTAATATCATTTAACAGGTAAATATGGAAACATATAAAGAGACAGACAGATTGGGACAGCCTGTCCAAAATAGTGACATGGAACTGACATCCAAATAGCAAGAAGAAATCGCTATGTAAAACTGTGGGAAAGAACATTCCAGTCAGAGGAATTAGCTCTGGCAGAGGCCCTAATGTGAGACTGGACTGTTTGGGGACAGGCAGGAGGCCAGTGTGGCTTGAGCAAGTGAGCAAGCGAGCAAGCAGGGGAGTGGCAGAAGATGAAGGCAGGGAGGGGAGAAGATTAGGTCACACGGAACCTTCTGGGCCTGTTCAGAATGTAGGATTTGATTCAAAATACTGTGGATGATTGCCAGATGGTTTTAAGCAGGAAAATGATTAAAAACTGGTTTTGTCGTTAAATGGACCTCAGGTTGCTGCATGGAGAATGGATGCCATAAGAATGCTGGGCTGGGCACAGGGGAGGCAGGGAGGGTGAGACACAGCCTCCGCTGCCTGGAGGTGCTTAGCATTCAGCCAAGGAGACCATACGCAAACAAGAACGGCAGCACCCCGTCCGGAGGGATGCCTGGGGTATGCAGCATGGGGGCATCCGAGAAGGCTTCAAGGAATTAGGTGATGGTTGTTGAGTTGTACCTTGAAAATGAGAGTAAGTAGGGCTGGCATATAGGCGACCAAAGAGGCAGCAATGATAGCAGAGCAGTGTGTGTCCCAGGAGCCAGATGGCCTGGATTCAAACCCCCGCCCTGCCCAGTGAGTGGCTAGGCAAGCTATTGACCTCTGTGTGCCTCCCTGTTCTCCTCCTTGAAACAAAGATGATGAAAACCCAAATCCTATCTAAGGGGTTTCTGTGGGGGTTAAGTTAAGTTGGTGAAGCACTCAGAAAGTTCTGGGACTGTGAAAGTGCCACATGAGTACTGCTAAATTAAAATGTGGCAAAATGGGGGTGGGAGAACAGGAAGCACATGCTGAGGAATGTCAACTGGAGCTCAACTTAGAGGAATGTGGAATCTCAGGCCAGGGAATCCCATCTTGCTCAGAAAGCAATGAGGGGCCATCAGAAACATATAAGTAGGGAGGTTAAGAATGGAGAGTAAGAGAAAACCCAAAGGCCCAGAGAGGGAAGTGT